AAAAAAAAATCCTGTTTTTAAATGTGCCAAGTTGTATATATCTTAAACCTTTTTTTTTTTTTCCCCTTCTCTCTCGTGTGATTGTAAAGCAATATGGTAACTCTCTTTTTCTCTCTCTCTCTCTCTTTTTCTTCCTCTCTCTTTCTCTCTCTCTCTCTCTCTCTCCATGTTTCCTTCTGGAAGGACCAAAGTCCAACCACTGTACATTTTCTCATTTGACTATATAATTCTTGTTTTGATCTTAGTTTTGAAACGACAACGGAGGAAAAAAAACAAACCAACCAACCAAACGAAAACCCAAGGCGCCATTCCATTTATTAAACCTGAGGATTTCAACGGTTAAAAAAAGCGGGGGGGGTTTGGTGGGGGGGGGAGAGGGAAAGAGAGAGGGGTTTTCCCCCCCCTCCCGGGATCAGGAGGGATTAAAAGGGAGGAAAAAAAAAAACGACAGCCTTTTGAGGAAGAAAAAAAAAAAAGAAAATATTTTATTAAAAAAAAAAAGCAAAAAAAGGCAAAAGAGGAGAACTGTTTGGAATATTTTCTTACTGTAGAAAAGCGATTGTATAGCAGAACTCCAGAGTATGTAATACTCAACGTTGTGTCGTGCGGGCGGGCGGGACAAACCACAAAAATCGCATGTTTTAAAAAAAAATTAAGGGAAAAACAATAATTTGTTCGGAGTTGCGCCGACGAGTTCGAAACCGGGAGCTGACGGAGGGGGGGGGGATTTGTCTCGAAATGGTGTCAAACACTAAAGAAAAAAGAGGTTTAAAAAAGTCCTTTTTTTAAAGAGAAAATAATAATGTTTGATGTTGCCGATGACGGAGAGAAGAGAATAATAATAATAATAATGTTGATTTTAAAAAAAAAATAAAAAATAAAAATAAAGAGTGCCCAGACGTGATATGCGAGATACTTAAAAACTTTTTGCCATTTTTTTTTTTGTGAAAAAAAAAAGAAATCTTTCTTTTGTTGAAAGAGTAAGTAAAATAAATAGATAAATAAAAAAGCCGATGATTTTTAGACAATCAAATTCTAGAGAAGTGCGAAGAATTTGTGTTGGCTTTTTTTTCCCCTCCTTTTTTTCTCCCCCCCCCCCCATTTTTTCCTTTTCCCCTTTTTTTATTTTTAATTAAAAAAAAACGATTGTGGTTTTTTTTGGCTTTGTTTTTCTTCAAACCGGTTGTAGAGAATTGCTGACTTTTTACGACGAAAAAAATAAAGTAAAATAAAACAGCGGGGTGGGAAGAGGGGAAGGAAGTTTATTTTGTATGAATATTAAAAGGAGACAGACTGTGGTTTCACACCCTGATCGCTGATAGAAGCCCAGGTTAAAATAAAAAAACAAAAACGAAGAATAAAAAAACGAATGAAAGAAAGAAAAAAAAGCACTACATTTGTGGCAAAGTGGAGAATAACAAAACTCTTTTTAGTCTGCATGGGACAGGCCGTGTGGTTGCTGAGAAGAATTGCTGCTAATATATTTCCTTTTTACAAAAGCATATCTAAATAGACCATTGTTTTGATGTTAATCTTTGTAAATTATGTATTACCAATTTTAACATTGGATGTAATTGCATAAAAAAAAAAAGCCTGCATCTCAGATATTGAGAGATTCTAGTATTAAATGGAAAAAAAAAAAACATGTTTCCTATTTACGGTTTCAAGGTGTTTTCATTTTTGTTTTTGTTTTTCAGCGTTTGCTAATTCTCTTTTTCCTCCCAATTTTAGCTGCCGTTTGACCTCCCTTTGGGGAGGCTTCGTTAAAACCGAACGAGCTAAATTACAGGTAGTCCTTGACTTCATGACCGCAGTTGAGCGTTGCTAAGTGAGTTTTGCCCCGTTTTACGACGTCGCTTGCCACCGTTGTCGTAGTCAGTCCCTGCAGTTGTGAAGTTAGCCACACGGTCGTTAAATGAGTCGGGCTGCCCCCCGTTGACTTTGCTGGTCAGAATGTCAGGAAAGGGCATCGCGTGACTCCGGGACGCTGCGACCGTCGTAAATATGAGTCAGTTGCCAAGTGTCTGAATTTAAATAGATAGATAGATAGATACAGAGATACAGAGATACAGAGATAGATACAGAGATAGATACAGAGATAGATACAGAGATAGATAGGTAGATATAGATAATATAGATAGATAATAGGTAGATAATATAGATACAGAGATGGATAGGTAGAGATGTAGATATAGAGATGGATAGGTAGAGATAGAGATGATAGATTAATAGATATAGATAGATAATAGGTAGATATAGAGATGGATAGATAGGTATAGATTGATAGATTAGATGTATATGTAGATATAGAGATGGATAGGTAGATAAAGAGATGGCTAGATGATAAAGGTAGGTAAGTAGGTAGATAATAGATGATAGATAGATAGATATAGATGATGGATAGATAGATAGCCTTTATTGTCATTTTTACTGTGTGCATAATGGCACACATTAAAAATGAAATTTAGTTCCTTGCTCCCCAAGTGTACATACATACATAGCACACAGTTAGAGCTGTTAATTAAAGGGAAAACTCTGTTCCTTTTTACTGGGTGAATTTAAGCCGAAATTTCTCCGTCGTGCTGCTCGCATCCTTTGGATTTTGGCTCTTGAAAAGGGAGGCCGCTTGCAAATCCATGGCCATAACCTCTGTCCTCCCTTCGCACTTACATACAGGGAGTCCTCGGTTTACAACCACAATCAGGACCAGGATTTCCACTAAGCAAGGGTTAACTGCCCAATTTCAAAAAAACCCCACCCTTTAGAAATTAAATTTCTAGCTTAGAAGGAGGCGTTCTTACAACTCATGACACCTTAACGGCCCCAACTTTGCATTAGGATAAGCCGATTGCAACTCCTTGCAAAAGCGCTGCCGCCAGCGGTGTCGTTCCTATTTTTTCCACTTTTGAAAAATTCTCCAAGAAATACATGTACGGTTCGTTTAGACCCAGTATAACCCCACCCCTAAGTGTAAAAATTAGGGCAGAAAAATTCAACCTGGTGTGCAAATCCTATCCAGGAGACGAAAAGAAACGTGTTAATTCAGCGTTCCTTCTACAGAATTGGAGAAATAAATAATAATAAACTCCTTTTCTTGATGCTGTGTTTCACAGAAGGCAATAGAAAGGAGGATAACAGACAGGGAGGATAAAGAATGCCAATGTTTCTTTTTTAACGTGCGTTTTTTAAAACCTCAGAGCTAGAAAGCTAGCATTGCAGGGAGAGACGTATTCCATCCTGACGTGCTAGCTTTCTGCTTGCAGGGAGAGTTTTATCAAGCCTCTCGCAGTTCAGCCTTCAAAGATGAAGCTGTAATTTATTCTATTTCATCCTAAAACTTAAAAGCCCCTGATTGAGCTGTGGATTTGGGGTTGAACTGGACCACTGGGGAATTCTGGGAGATGGAGTCCACACATCTTACAGTTGCTAAGGTGGAAAGACTGAACTAAACTACAGGTAGTCAACCTTAAGTCCACAATTTGGGGCATAAGTTGGGGACAGTTGCAAAGTATGGTACCTGGGGAATTCTGGGAGTTGAAATCCACCCCTCTTAAAGCAGGCTGGCTGGGGGATTCTGGGAGTTGAAGTCCCCCCATCTTCCAAGTAAACCAAAATTGAGAAGCAAGGCTTTTTAAAAGGTGTGTGTTATTTTCACCCCTTACCACCAGAGTGAGCCAAAGATACATCTCTGAGGTCATACAATCCGAATTCAAACTCATTTCTCAAATATTGCAAAGAGGGGGAAAAGCAAATTAAAAGCAAAATCCTAGTTGAATCCTAGCAACAGAGGGCGGGATGCAACATCCTAGCTTGTTCCTCCCCATCCATCTTTCTTTAGGCAGGCCTTCGGACCAGAAGCAATCCAGGTAACACAACTGCTGGCTAAAATGGCTCACCAATATTGTCTGAACGATATTTTTATTCCCCTCTCCAATGTACAGGTCATCTTCTAGAAAGCAGAAAGAGGGCTGATTCCGGATGGGACGAACTGACAAGATCGTTTGGGAAGAGCGTGCAGTGGCCAAAAAAAAAAAAAAATTTAAAAAATTAGGCTCCTTAGATAGAAACTTCTCTTCCAGTTACCCCCTAGCAATACCGACAGTCCTCCACTTCCTCGTTGACTTTGCTTGGCAGACGGTCGCAAAAGGGGGTCACGTGACCACCCCCCCAGGGATGCTGCGACCGTTGTAAATACGAGTCGCTTGCCAAGCAGTCTGAATTTTGATTCACGTGGGGGAATGCTGCAGCGGTTGTACCGTACATGTGAAAAACGGTCATAAGCCACTTTTGCGGTGCCGTTGTAACTTCAAACAGGCGCTAAATTAACGATTGCAAGTCTATTCTTTTCTGTTTCGTCATTTTTTTTAAAAAAAAATATCAATAGACTGGATGAGAAGTATCCATTGGAAGCCAAAATTCTGATCAATCAATTTGAAAGGACATTCCCTCCGGCTTTAGAAGCAGAAAGGGGTCAAACTGAGCCTACCGAAAAAGATTAAACTATATATATATATATGTATATTATATCTATATATTTATATGCATATATCAATTTCTCTATATGTACACAGGTATATGCAATATACACATTGCAGGAAACCGTCTTCTGGGGCTGTGCAGCAGACAACGAGGGGGCGGTAAATAAAATAGATAAAAATCGGAAATTCCAGGCCGGGAAAAAGTGGAAACTGGTCCAGCTCCCCCCCCCCCAAACACTCCGGGTCCTGGGGTAGCCCATCATTCCCAGCCAGCTTCTGACGGGGAGGGTGGGCCAGTTCCAGGTCACCAGGTTTGAGAAAGCAGAGCGAAGAATTTTCAAGAGTGTAAATCTTCCACGTCAGTCGTTGCAAATAACCTTTGGTGATGCTTTGGCTGTACCGGGAAGCTTAGCTGCTTTGTCATTTGCTTTTAGTGTTGTTGTTGTTGTTTAAAACGGTTTGGAGGATTGGCTGGATTCTCCTTCCTTTGGACCACCATCTTCCTGGCCTGGACCTCCCCCTTCAGATGATCAGGGAAGTGTAGCCCACGTGGACGAGGCCTTGCTGGCCTCCGGAGAGGCATTTCAGCCAGTTTTCATCCACCGTCTCCATCACTTGCAGGATTTCCCCTTTGCAAAAGGTCAGGTGTCCAGCAGCCTCACCTGCGTGGTCACAGAGGGCCCGCACGGCTCTGGAGGGAGGGAGGGAGACCAAGGAAGCCAACGTAAGTTGGTTTGTTTCCCGATACCCCTACTTTCCTTGTTTTTAAAACCTAACTCAAGGTGGGGAACCTACTTAATGTTCCTTCCTTCCTCCTGTTTTCCCCACAATCACAACCCTGTCAGGTGAGTTGAGTTGGATTGGGCCCAGGGAAGGAGGGACTGACCCAAAGTCACTCAGCAGCTCTGGTGACTTAAAGTGGAACTAGAACTCGCCGTCTCCTGGGGATTGGTCCGAAAGTCACCTAGTCGGCTTTCGTGCCTTAAGGCAGGAGTAGAACTCAACACTTTCCGGGTGATTGGGCCATAGTCACTCCGCCGGCTTTCGTTCTTTAAAGCAGGACTAGAACTCCCAGTCTCCTGGTGATTGGCCCAAACTCACCCAGACTTTCATGCCTAAGGCGGGACTAGAACTCGCCCTCTCCTGGTGATTGGCCCAAAGTCATCCAGATGGCTTTCATGCCTAAGGCGGGACTAGAACTCGCCCTCTCCTGGTGATTGGCCCAAACTCACCCAGACGACTTGCATGCCTAAGGCAGGACTAGAACTCACCATCTCCGGGTAATTGGCCCCAAGTCGCCCAGCTTTCATTCTTAAGGCAGAACTGGAACTCACTCTCTCCTGGTGATGAGGCCAAAATCCCCCAGCTGGCTTTCGCACTTAAGGCGGAACTAGAACTCAGGACCTCTACCCTGGTGCGTTAACCACCAGACCAAATGAGCTCCAGCTGCAGGCAAGACTTTGGGTTTGGAAGAACACAAACGGACCTGGCAGGATGCGGCCATCAGCCGGAGGTTTGTCCAAGGCAACCTCTGAATCCCGGCTGAATCTCAGACGTAACGGTCTCCTTTGAAAAGGGGGCGTGCTGAACTGGCTGGCAATGCCAGCTAGTTCAGGCTTCGGAGTTTTTGTTTCCCACAGATGCTTCCCAACAAGGAGCCAACTTACTTGCAGGTCTGTACTGGGTCTGGGGGATTCTGTGCCCCCTCTGCCTCTTGCCAGGTCTTCTGGGTCGGTCCCCCCTTCTTGGCGAAGGCCAGCGTGTTAATGGCAGGACACAGCCATCTCGAAGGGCGCCTGCTGGACACGGACGGGAAGGGCAAAGGGGCCGTTATTAATTGCTAATTCTTTCCGAAATTGCCCCAGGGATCTCCATGTCCAATGGGGATTGAAGTCTCCTTAAGGGTGGGGGGAAAATGGAAACAACCCAGTAACTAACATGTATCCATTTTCACTTTTAAATTTAAATTTTCGCCACAAAGAATCTTAAATTTCAGAATTTTCCCGCCGGGATAGCCAAAGCTTCTAGTCCTTAGCGAGGCCACATCCGGGCAGGCGGACCAAACCCTTCTCGTGTCAATTTTTCAAAGCTAACCTCCCTTTCGCCACCCCACGCCTAACACATTTGAGGGGGGGGGCCGTTCCTCAGAGCTTATCCGGGGGCCGCCCCCGACACCTACCCGGACCGAGGTAGATTTGGATCCGTCTCGTTCACAGCCCCGGGAGAATTCGCTCCGAACAGCCATCCCAGCCGTCTTTCGTTCCCGTTTCCAGCCTCCGGTTTCTCCTCAGTTCCTTTCAGATAGACTTCTCCTGCCTCAGGGGTATCCATTCCTGGCTGGGAGGGGCTCCCTGCCGCCGGGCCATCTTCCTCGCAGACGGATGACCGTTTTTCTATCTGGGAGTCGTTTTTGCCAAGTTTGGGGCATTCTTCGGCACTGGCACCGCTCTCTCCGGCTGCCGTCTGGCTCTCCTTAATGGCCACCCACAGCTTGGTCCAGTGTGACTTCCACCTGCTTGGCAGCTGGGCTGGGCTCTCCTCCTGCCTGGGCTGGGCCCAGGCCGGGTTCCCGTTCCCACGGAGGGTGCTTGCTAGCCGCTCCTTCCAGCCCAGAAGTCTCTGGGGCAGGAGCCATTCCTGAAAGGGGCTGGAGGGAGCCAAGAAAGGATCTTCCAAAGTAGCGAAAGGAATTGGGGGCTCGGATAAATCCAGCGGGGTCAGACCGGGGCTCTCCCACCGACCGGCCCCGGGTTCGGGAGACGGGGTGCTTGGCTGGGGCATCGGCCGGACGCTGATGGGCAGGTGGCGATGCTCAAAGAGCAGGTCCAGTTGGAAGGTGAGGACCGAAAGGGGTTGCAACAGGAGTAGTAGCTCTTCGGCCCAACGGGGGCAGATCCGCTGGCTTAGGAGCAGGAAGGCGGTGGGCAAATACAAGGAGGAGACCAGCTCTGTTTTTGGGGGGGGGGGTAGAAATGGCAAAAAAAATCGGTCAGAAACCTGAGCGGAAAAGAGAGCATCTTAAACGGGATAATGAGAGGGTTTGGGGCAGGGAGAACGAAAAGCAGAGAAAAGAGCAATGGATAGCAGAATATCAGAGTTGGAAGGGGCCTTTGGAGGTCTTCTAGTCCAGCCTGCTGCTCAAGCAGAAGACCCTATTCCATATGGCTGTCCAGTCTCTTCTTGAAAACCTCCAGTGGTGGAGAAGTAAGGGAGGGGAGGGAAAAAGGAAGGAAGGAGAGAAAGAAAGAAAAAGAAAGAAAGAAAGAAAGGAAAGAAAGAAAAAGAAAAAGGAAGGAAGGAAGGAAGAAAAAGAGAAGAAAGAAAGGAAAGAAAAAGAAAAAGGAAGGAAGGAAGAAAGAAAGAAAGAAAGAAAGAAAGAAAGAGAAAGAAAGAAAGGAAGGAAGGAAGGAAGGAAGGAAGGAAGGAAGGAAGGAAGGAAAAGAAAGAAAGAAAATGAAAGAAAAAGAAAAGAATAGCAGAATAACAGAGTTGGAAGGGACCGTGGAGGTCTTCTAGTCCAGCCCCCTGCTCAAGCAGGAGACCCTATCCCATTCCAGACAAATGGCGGTCCAGTCTCTTCTTAAAAACCTGCTCTAAAACCAGAGTTTGTGACTTAGCCAGACTTAGAAGATTGTGAACGAAGAATTCAGCTGAGCACCCCCTTTCCGGGAAAAAGATGCGCGCACACACACACACACACACTCACAATATCTGACCTACCTGAGTTTCTTTGCAGCTGTGTGAACCATTCCTCCACTTGCTTCAAGCTAAGGAAGAGACGGAAGAGGGAAGCGTTTAACAACCGACACCAGAATTCCCACGGCTAAACCAGGCTGTTGTTAAGCGACTCACGTCTGATTTTACAATTTTGTTAAGCGAACGAACCGCTGAAGCGCTTAAGCGAAACCAACTTCTCCCCTCGACTTGGCTTGTCGGAATCCAGCCGGGAAGATCGCTAAAGGGGATCGCGTGATCCCGGGACGCTGCAACCCGTCATGAATATAAACCAATTGCCAAGCGCCCCAATTTGGATCACGTGACCCTGGGGATGCTGCAGCGGTCGTAAGTGTGAACAAGTCCCAAGTCACTGTTTTTAGTGCCGTTGTGACTTGGGACGGTCACTAAACAAGCTGCTGAAGCCCCTGTCTCTCTTTTCGTTTCCTATTTTGGCCCTATTTTTGCACTCGTTTGTTCTTTTGTTTTCCTCATCCTCTCTTTTCCAACCCCTCGCCCCCTCTTTTTCCGTTTAATGGCGCGAGAGGGACGGGCCACTTTCATCCCGAATCGGCAGCCGGCAGCGGCTTCGGAAACAGAAGCGCTCCGTCCCTACCAAATTTGCAATCCATCCTCTCTGCTCCCTTCTCCCGTCTCGCGCCCTCACTCACTTCAGAAGACCGAGGATAAAAGCGTGGAAACATTGGTGGTGACTCCGGAGCGGGGCCAGCCGTGACACACGCCAGTACAACGCGGTGAAGGTTCTGGTGTGGGCACCTGGGGAGAAAAACCAAATTCAGAGGCCTTCGCAACACCGTCCGTTCGCTTCGAGGACGTCTCAGCCGGAAAGGTATCCTTGGGTGTGAACGAGGGTCTTGTGTCAACCCCAACAATTTGGGGGGGGGGGGGTTCCCACAACCCCGTGGGAAATTTTTCCTCCCCCCCGAGTCTAATTTTTAAGAGAAGGAACACCGGAATTAAAACTACACATAGCACATTTCTTAAGATCTCCTGGTCTTAGGTTTAGCCTAATTGCCCAAGTTAGATTGAGGGTATGAGGAAAAGTTATATTATGTCACTGTATTATTTTACCTGCTCGAATCGATCTTCTGCATTACCAAATGTGGTGTTCTTTTGATGTAGAATTCCTCCCCAACTCCCTCCCTCTCTCTATCCCTCCCTCCCTCTCTCCCCTTCTCTCTTCCCCTCTCTCTCCCC